AGTGATGGGGCATCCACAGCTTCTCTGTGCAGCCTGTTCCAGTGTCTCACCACCCTCACAGTTTGCAACCAAACCTCAACTTGCTTCAGATAACTCAGCTCTATAACGGGCTAAGCCCTCTTTCCCATTAAGGACTCTGTACAAAGGATGAATGTTCAGAGGACACAAAATACTACAGCCTTTAGCACAGGGTTTCAGCATTTGCTTCTTGTCTTGATCCCATCTGAACTCTGCAGTTGGGATAGGTACAGGAATGAGGGACCTACAAAGTCCCTCTCCACAATACCTCTGTCTTGGCAGTCAGCAGACCACTGCTTCTTGGAAAATTTGGCATGGCATCTCTTCCCCAAAAGGAGAGACCCAGTCAAGCATGTCTCATCTTGTCACAACACATGAACATGCACAGCCCTGCACCTCTCTCTTCTAGTCAAAGTCAAGCAGAGATGTGACAGGCTGAAATATTTTCCCTGTCAATAACCAAATGCTCCAGTTCCTTTGCCTTCAGCTTTGCAACAGCTTATAAAGCAAACTGCATTGAGTGCTGGAATCTGCAGTAGAATTCCATTCAATTTTTTTCCACAAAACAGCTGGGTTAAAAATCTTTGACTAACATGGTTTCCCTGCCATACTAATCACTTTTCTGAATCAAACCAATGAACCATCCAATTTAAATCTGTTTCTCATGAAACAGACATTTTACAAAGATTCAGGTGTGATAAATAACCACAAAACTCCAGACGCTGAGCTGAAAGGGGCCTCCAGCTCCCAGTTCCTGCCTTTCCTGACAGCCAGAGATGTGAAGAAAGCAGTCATCCAGCTCAGGGTCAGGGCTGTGACAGCTCCTCAGTGTGCTGGGAAAGGGCAGATAAACTGCTGGGTCTCTGTTGTGTTGTGTTGTAGCTGAGGGGAGTAGATGAAGCACAACAGCAGAAGGACTTTTAAAGGCTGCAGCTGAAAATTAAGCATCTTGTTATTTTAAAGGATGTTTGAAGTTAAAGTTCTGTGCCTCACACTCCGCCGCAATGAACAGAACAGGTGGACTGTTTCTAAAAAACTTCCTCACTGCAGGGGGAATACAATGAAATTAAGCCAGACTACACACAGGCAGATGTTCCTACAGCAAGGCAATTCCCAGACAGAGAAGTTCTGATCCATGAACCGCCTCAATGCATGTATGGTACCAAACCCCCCATCTGTGCTGGAGAAGAAAAGCATCATGCTGCTGTGCTGATGGGTTCACTGGATGGGAACACAGTGACACAGGCTTGTGCCACTGCTCTCTCCCTTCCTAGAAATCCCAGGGAAAACATGGAGCCTCACTGAAATAACCCAAGGTTTTCCACACTCTCTGCCAGCCAGCAGCACCTCAGAGGGACATTGTGTAAAAACCACCTCTGTGAGTGCAGTAGCACACAGAGCAAGGAGGAATTTGCCATGAGAGTTGTCCCCAGCTTGAAATGTCCTGTGGTTTGTAGGCTTGCAGCTTACCCAAATAAGAACACACAGCCTCACCACCTCAGCAGCCACTGCATAATGGGAAACACAAAGAGAAGTGAAGAAAGGCTGAAGACAGTGTCACTAAAACAAGAAATGAGCTCCAAGGCAGAATGCTACTTTAGGCTTGAGAACAGGCAGTGTTAGGTTCAAAAAAATTTAATAGAGGAATAAATAAATGCTGTCAGTACAAAGTGACATTTCTGGTCCTTGAAAGCTGTCTCTGCTGTTTGATGGAGCACTGTGGCAGCCCTCTGAGTATGATGCTTATACATTACTACAACTGTTATTTGGAACTGAGCTGACTGATTTGTGTTCAGGGAGCATCTCATCTATGTTTCCTTTTGCTGACCCTCTGAGGACTGACAGACACACACCTATGATGGGCCTGCAGTCTCAGTCAGTGGTTTGCCTGTCAGTGCCTCAATGTTGCTTTGTTCCTTCAAGATTCCCTTATGGTTAGCCCAGGCAATCCTGATGGACAAACCCAACTTCACAAACTTCCTCCAGATTACTACAAACGAGCACATCAGTAAAATATACAGCAGTAGTATAGATCTCCCAATTTCTTCACCACAAACCTAAGTAAAGGTTTCACACTTGTTGCAAACATTGCCCAGCCTGAGAAGGTAATGAGCAGATGTGTGGGTATGCACATGTGCTCCCCCAGAAACGAGAGTAACCAGGTGAAGAAAGGACAAGGACTTGGGTGTCTCTAGGAGCAGTGATGAGACTTAACAGGGCCATAACAGGTGGGCTGCTCCCTGAAAACAACATGAAGGAGCTCTTCTCAGGAAGAAATACATGAGAGTTCTCCAGTGCAAGACAAATCCAAGGGCATGATAAAGGAAAGGCAACTGTATATGGATTCTCACACTTGCCTATGCAGTTCAGGAAAGAGGAACAATTGCTTCTAAGAAATGTTGTTATGCCCTGAAGCAGAGGATGAATTGAACCCATTAGAGTTGTTCAATCTTCTCTCTGGTGGCCACTTCAAAACAGTGGCTTTTGTTTAGCAAAATGTGTACAGCAGTTATAATTGCAAAATTAACCTTCAAAATCAGAAACCAGCATAACTGAAGGAGCTGTATCAGCAAAAGCTTGGAACAAGAACTCTGAGGGGTTGTTGCCATTTACCACCTGAAATTGCCAGCTCTGGAGCCAGACTGGGGGGGTAAATGTCAACAAAATGCTATTTTTTTTCCTGGTATACAAAGACTGATATTCAGTGACCAGCTGATACCTGTGGTTTCACCACAGGCAGTACTTGGGTTTGTACAACTGACACCCCCTTCTCAGCTTTGCTGTGAATAACCTATGCTTTTATTTATGCTGCAACACAAAATTACCAAGGCTCAAGGTTTTAGGACATCCCAGCATCTGGGTTATGAAATCCACACTTTGGTGGGTGAATGAGGTTTTTATTTTCGTTTTCCACGCAGGCTCTGGGTACCTTGCCATACAACTCAAGGTAGAGCGTGTGACTCATACTTACCATGATGCAACATTATTCTTTAGGCATAATTTGGGCAGGGGGAGAAAGGAGGGAAACCGTAGACTCTGCTGCTGTGTGGCAGGAAAATAAAGGAACTGTAATCAGATTTGGTCTGTGAAAACCTGAGATGGAAACTCAAGTGGCAAATTAGGGAGATATATAGCCCTCTTTCATGCCACTTGAATGGCTAAATGTGTGGCAGAATTCTCATCAACATCTCCATCGTCACACCTGGCTCTTGAGCAGCATAACATACCCTGAGGCAGCAAGCACACACACATCCCACATCTGTCTGTCCCTCCCAGTCACCAGCTAACTCCTCTTTTAAAACAGCTTGAAGATGAGTGTAGTTACACAAAACCCACCAGAAATCACACAGACAGAGAGAGAGCCTGCAGGAGAGTCGGCATGGAATGAATGCCCCATCACTACTTCAGTCTTGGGAACTCAACTTCCTCCTTCTGATGAAATGTAACTTTTGAGCCCGGGCTGAACATACTGTAATCTGCCCTACTGCACCTGTCCTGGATATTAATAACCAACATAAATCCTAAAGGAAGCACTGTTCTTTACTCCTGATTTGTCAGAGGTGGAGGGATTGGAAGGGTTGTGGGTAATATGGAAATGGCATAGGCAGAGGATCCCTTCTGGGAGCCCGATTATTGAAAAGCGGCTGCTATTTACACAGTTAATGCCATTCACTTCCTGCACCTGCTCAATCATTCATTTCCCAGTGCAAGCCAGCTTTGCCTTGCTGCAAAGTCAGGGAATTTAGGGGAGGTACACCTGCAGGTTTTCTTTTTCTCTACAATGACTGCAGAGTTGAGCTTATAAAACTCCCATTTGTACATTTTCAGTCCTTCATCTTCCTTTTTTGCCAATTCTTTTCCCACCCACTTATATGTGTATATGCTTTTCCAAGTATTTATGTTTCTGATAATGAATCCTCTTTTTCTAACTCCTGTTGGACTCGCAGCCCATTCATGTACTCCTAAAATACCTATTTCATTCTGCAGTTGTCCAAAAACACCCTAAAAATTCAGCTAGCTTCCCCACTTACACTAGTTTTTCTTCATATTCTATCCAGTCTTTGAGAGTTAGTCCATGTCCTACATCCAGGGACATCCAATTTTTTATGATGTCCCTATGAATGTAAATTCTGTATTGTCATCCCCAGCAAACACACTTATAATTGAATCTACTTTGAATTCTGATTTAAAAGACCAGAACAAACCACAAAGAATGATGCAGCTGACCTTTCTTCCCATTCTTGCCCCAGTCTCCTTTCTTGATAATGAATGTCTGCAGAGGCTGTAGGCCACCAAGGAGAAAGGAAGCAGGAAGGGAGAGAGCTGTAGCTCCATGGTTCTGCCTATTAGTGCTTAAGGATACACCAGCTGTAAATCACATTAGGGGAGGGGCAGTTGCAGCTCTGAGCACCTGAAAAACCCATCAGCAAGGGTTAAGGAAGAAAAGTGAAGGCTTCTGGGTTTTGATTGGTTTTTTTACATTATCAGGAGAAGGACTCCTATTTAATGTGAAATCCATGCTGCCACACAGCACATAAAGCCTTTGCAATATAAACTGTTAGACTTACTGCCATGCTGGTGGTGAGCTGTCATCCATTGCAGAGGATCCATCTGCTTGTTGTCATGCTTACACAAGAACTGAATAAGCTGCCCCCATCTGCCAAAGTTTTGGCTTTCATTGCAGAGAGACAACAGCAGGAAGGAGGTCAAGGTCAAGTAAAGCAGATAAACATGATTAACTCGGAGCAGATGATGACTCACCTGTCTTCAGTGGGAACAGCCTGGTACTAATGTATCTGATTGAACCAGGGTTGGTGGGATAAACCAACTTAAAGGGAATGACAGTGCAAAAATTAAAAAGTAATAAAAAGCTTGAAGTTGAAAGCAAAACAGCTCATGACCTCTTTCTTTTTGTTCCCATCTGAAGAAACAACGGTATGCTCTTAAAATCAGCACATGTCAAGTCAGACGCTGGAAAGGAATTGAGAGGATTATTTCACAATTTTATTGCACAATTGAAAATTAACCTGTTTTTTTTGTTTTTCAATATTTACAAGCCATTTACTTTGCACACACAATCTAAACAGCGTTTTCCCCAGTAAAATTGTCACCTAGAAAACTTACACACGGACTGAAGTTTATGTGTAAATTAAGTGGTTTGTGTTTAATGCAAATTGCCTCAGTCTGGAGGGGGAGGTGCTTGGGAGATGAGATGGCATAAGGAAAGAAGACACATATTCTTTTCTCTTTCTTGAAACGTTACTTAAAAATCTTTCCCCATGCTGGGGAGAGAAACAGAAGAGTTGAAGCAGAAGGACAGCCAGTCAGGTAATATATTGGGAAATTCAAGGTGCTGAGTTAGAAAGTCAGAATCTTCAATGCCACAAGCCTAGCTCACCCTAAAGGTCATGGCACTCCAACTTTCCCCTGGAGAATGTAGAATCACCTTGGCCATAACAGAAAAAGAATGAGGTTTGAGTCTTAAAAAGAAACACACATGGAAAGCCATTGTTGGGGGATTTTACCCCTTTCTGAGTTTCTTACCTGCACTGTTGGAAATGTGCTGGCTGACACACTGCCACAGACCTGGCACAACCCAACCACCAATGCCAGGGGTAATATTTTACCCACTATTATGAAGCCCACGGTTTTGGGCTGAAAATGAGTGCTTTTCTGCTGTTAGCACAAACTGTCTGTCACAACATGCAGCACAGTCTCTGGAGTGCACAAATCACCCTCCTCCCATGGCTGATCCACCCACACCTTTTCTGTCACATGGATTGTTGTTCTCAAGTTTGTCAGCTAATATTGAGTACAAGGCCTTGTAGCACTTACTGCTTAGTTTCCAGAGGATTTTGACACCTGCAATCTTAAATGAGTATGTGGCAACTAAAACTGATGCTCACTACCAGCACTGTAACCCTTTCTGCTACTCACAGAATGAGGGGAGATGTGGTGAAGAAATGAACTGAAATGCCTCTTCTGAAGTCCTGTTCATTCCATTGACTCTCAAAGGAAACAAAGGGGACTGCGAGGGATGTCAGTCACCAGAAAAGGCTGCCCAGGAAGCGTCACCATCCCTGGAAGTATCTAAAAGATGAGTAGGTGTAGCACTTAGGGACATGGTTTAGTGGTGGACTTGGCAGTGTTAGGTTAATGGTTGGACTTGGTCATAGATTTCTTTTCCAACCTAAATGATTCCATGACTCTATGGAATCATTTTGGCTTTGACCCATGGCTCCCACACCATGGGTCTCAAGACAGCTGCCAAGTTGTATGGTCTGAATCAGGGCCTGAATGGTTGTAGCTGGGCACCTAAGAACTAAGGATTCTGGCATTGTGAGATTCATCTGGTATTCAGATCACTTTGGCACTACCTTTCATCAGGTTTTGGGTACCCTAGGGAGGAGAAGTGATGAAGTTTTGTTTTTGCATTAATGGCATTTGAAGCCTAAGTATTCTCTCTCCTCTCCCCTCTCTTTTTTTTATGTTATTGATAGTTTAAGGCAGCCAGTAATGGAGAGGTATATTTTCTCTGTGTAATAGTTATAATCAGATCTCAGCACTGTGGATGTTGTATATATTGTCTTTAAAATGCCTGTCAACACCAACCTAAGGTAGGATTTAGGGCTGCAGCAGATGGGAACAAGGAGAAAAAGTGGAAAATGCAAGAATGGGCTGGCTGAAGAAGGATCCTGAAATGGAACCCTACAGAAATAGGGAAATTTGTAAATACTGGAAACCCGTGCTAAAATTCCTGGCTTGAGATTACTAACCCTCATAGTGCTGCTGATTCCAGCCACACAGGACTATTTACAATTACACTCTTTCTCTCAAAACAGTATTTTCCTGGAAGGTCCATGGATGTAGTAGACAGAAAACTTTGAACAAAATGAGTATGTTAAAAATAAACCAAAACATAGTGAACCCATTTTTTACAGCTTTAAAATGATGAATTTTTTATCAGGTGTAGCTTGAAGATTAAAATTGAAAAAAAAGACCCTGCAGAATAAATTTGTGTGAAGGTTTAGGTGCCATATGAGAAACACTGCTCAGTACTGAAATCATGCAGTGGTCTGGTATGAGCCAGTAGACTTTCATACTTATTGGAAGAGACACAGCTAAGGTAGAAATAAAACCTGTGATAGCACAAACTAATAAAAAAATCCCCCAGGCCACAGGAAAGACTTTCCCTTCACTAACATGGAGGACAACTCAATGGCCCCTCAGTTCTGTTCTTCTCCACAGACAATGCTGTAATGTTTTCAAGTCTGACAGATGCAGAAGAAAACTGCAACATAATAAAATAAATAAAACAGAATCACAGAATGTTCTGAGTTGGAAAAGATCCACAAGGATCACCAGGTCCAACTCCTGGCCTTGGACAGGACCATCCCCAAGAGTCACACCTTGTGCCTGAGAATATTGTCGAAATGCTTTTTGATCTTTCTCAGGCTTGGTGCTGTGACGACTTCCCTGGGGAGCTGTTCCAGTGCCCAACCACCCGCTGGGTGAAGAACTTTTCCTGATATCAAACCTAAACCTCCCCTGACACAAATTCAGGCCATTCCCTGGGTTCTGTCACTGGTCACCAGAGAGACGAGATCAGGGTCTGCCCCTCCTCTTTCCCTCATGAGGAAGTTTTAATTGCAGTGAGGTCTCCCCCCAAGTTCCTTCTTTTCCAGGCTGAAAAAGCCAAATTATCTCAGACACCTCCTCTGGCTTCCCCTCTAAACCCTTCAGCATTTTCTGGACCTTTATTATACTGTGGCTCCCAAGCCTGGCCCCAGCCCTGGAGGCGAGGCAGAGCAGAGCAGGACAATCCCTCCCTGGCCTGGCTGGCTGTGCTGGGCCTGATGCCCCCCGGGACAGGGCTGGCCTTCCTGGCTGCCAGGGCACTGCTGGCTCACGTTCAACTTTGAATACAAATATCTAAATTGAATAACATGAATAAAAATATTTTGCAAACTTTTAATTTCACTTATGAAAATGGAAATGAAAGCACTAAAATTTAGAAAAATATTTGTGCCTTGGGTGATGTGATTCAGAGTTGTTTTTTAGTACATGTATTTTTTTTTGCTTTATGAAGCGTAAAGAGAAAGATGATGATAGTGCCTGTATTCTCTGCATTTACGACAGAAGCTGGAAGGCTAACTTGGTGGATATTTTATATTGATGACTCTCTGTGAATGTCAATCCTTGTGGGTCTTTACAGTACTCAATAGCTTTTTTATTTTTTTAAATTGCCGTTGCTGTTCTTTGAAGAAGACTTAACAGTGAAAATTACAAGATGTAAACTCTCTGTGAGCCATTTGAACCTGTATGGAAATATTCATTGATGGTATGGATGGAAAACATAATTTTGCTTATCTGTCTATTCTCTTTTCAACACAGCAAAAGCTTACTGCCTGGCCTGAACACTGAGTCTCTGGTCAGCTGGATTAATTGGTGCTAATATAATTAATAAACACTGAGCAAGGTGTCAAGCGAAAATACACACATCTCTTGTTCTCATTCTGGACCAGCAAACTGCTGAGTCCCATCTTTTCCTCACCCCAAGGATCACCTCTGTCACTCACAGCAAGTGTACATGAAAAATGCAGAAGAGCTCGGTGAAATCTGTCATCAGAATAAGAGATTTCATACTGCACCCACTATTGCCATCTACAAACAGTGCCAGGTGGTGGTGCCCCTTCCTTCCTGCTGCTGATGGTGAGGTCTGACTGGATGAAGAGCTCATGGATCAATCTGCATTGGACAGCTCTTCCTTCCCTTATAGCATCACTGGAGAGCACTGCTGGAACAAGAGTTCCACAGGCAGATCGAAAGAAATTCTATGAACCTCACTAACTCTAGATTTGCCCCAGCCATTGACCTCAGTGCTGACAATTCAAGAACAGCTGGATAGTCAAGACTCCTACTGTTATCAAGCTTCTATTATCTTTATTCTTTTTTTCCTTTTTCTTAAGGGCACCAAAAGATCAGTGTGGGAATCCAAAGAATTGGAACAAATTAAATATCTTTGAGCTGTGAAGGGTTACTGTCAGTGCTTTCAAGAATTTTACAATCCATAGAATTTACTGCAGGTGGGATGCATTGGCCAGTGTTTGTTAAGAAATGCCACAAATCCAGAATGGGGTTAGTCCAGCCCACACATCCTATGAACAGATCTTCTGGGACTTCAAAATGCTTCTGTCTTCCTCATTCCTCTGAAAATCTGGCTACTTAAAACAAACCCATCATATCCCCACCTGCAATTATTTATTTCATATTTCTTTGCTTACCTGATAGACTGCTCATAGTCCTTAGAGTGGTCCCAGTGATGGAGCAGACATGCTTGGACAGAGCTGGGATTCATCACTCTTGCAAGTTCAGCTGTTAGGATTTGTAGCCTGGGGGTGAGTGCTACAAGGCCTCTGAATGTGTGATTTCCATCAGCTTCATAGGATCCCCTCCATACGAGAAAAGCCTGCAGAACAGAACTGCAGGTGTTCTGCTTTGAGAGCACGGGGGATAATTGATTTTCCTAAATCAGTTTATACCTATCCTTTGGGGAAAGAAAAAAAGTCTGTCTTTGCTCAAAATCAAGACTGCTATCACATTATGAAAACCTCAATGAAAGAAGTAAAAAGGAGTATCATACACCCAGCTGCTTCATTTGCCCAATATTATGCATTCTCTGCAAAGAAAGAAAGATAACTCCCTCAAAAAAACCTGAATGAAGAATTGTGCACAGACCACATCCTACTATATATGTGTGAGAGGACAGATAGAAGTTTTATGAGCAAATCACCAACCTGAAATTTCAGATCTTCTAACTTTCATGTGATTGAATTTGCAGCCTTACCACAAGACTTGGGATGTAATTGTTAATGCTGAAAGTTCACACTTCCACTGAGTCTCAATTAGGTTGCCATAACACTCACAAATAGGCTAAGCTTGGCTTGAATTACCTGGCCTAATATGTTTGGGGATCTCTTCTTGAACATAACTGGTAAGGGTGTCTAAATCCCTGATCAGAGAATTACCCTCAGGTCAGAACTGTTTCTTTGGCAATGAAATTTTGTGTCTTGTGGCAGTGGACCATGGAGCTCTCAAATGCAGCCTTTCCTACCTGTGCCTGTGCAGTGACTTCCACAAATTCATGCTGCAGAGATTTAAGACATTTTAACCCTACAGAAAGAGTAATGTGCTAGAAGTCAGCAAGCTCCTCTTACAATATGAGGAGAAGCCAAACACAATGACTGACCAAATACAGACTCCAAGCCTGAGTTCAGATTGTTTTCATCCTGACACTTTCAGTGACCTGACACTTCCACTGGAGTAGCCACTAACACGTCTGAACAAATATGTTCATATGAATGACCACATAAATAAATATTTGGCTGGCTTTCTAATTCCCAGATTATTTTTTTCAACTCAACATAATAATTCTTCTCTGTAAACAAACCCCAAATCCCAAGTAAGGGTAAGAGGAAAACGTTCCAGCCAACTGACACATACACACCTCCTTTTGAAATTGTCAAGGACTTCATGTTCTGTTCTGGGAGTGTATAACTACTCATAAAACCAAGCTCTTATAAAAGCAAGATTTTTCTAAATCCAGGTGTGTAAGCATTTCCTGAGCAATTATTTGCTGTGCACAGCCAGCAGCTTTTCCAAGCAATTTCGTATCGTGAAACAATATACAATCTTCAAATAACCCACAATACACCTAAGTGTTTGGATGTAAACACACCATCTAAATATACATTATTAATTACTAATCCTCAGATGTAAAAATTATTTCATTGAGCTATCAATGCTTCTACATTTTCAGTGCTGCAGTGGAAATACCTGATTATTGGCTGGCATTTTCTACTAGCGACTTATTTGTTCTAGTTTCACCTAGTGGAGTTGCAAAAACTTAGCTGCTTTTTTTTCCCTAATATTGAAATATGTTTTGAGCTAACAATGATACATTCTCTTTCTAGCACTCCCACCACTGAAAGTGTTAGACCTGGTTGAAGTTCATAAATAATGACACTCACCCCACTTGCTGAGCTTGCTGTGTTCTGCTGCTGCTGCCCTGAAACCTGAGGAACACCCATACAGAATCTGGCAGAGCAGGAGGCAATGTCCTGAGCAATGCCTAAGAGTAATATCTCTGCTGATTTGCCAGGACTCCCAGTGCTTCTGGCCATTAATCTTTCTCAGCTGAAAACAGATGGGGCTATTAGGCAGGCTGGAGTAATGGGGGAAACTGGCAAGACAGAGAAGGAAATGCATTATCTTCTGGGTAGAGCTGCACATAAAAATGAGAACATTAAAAATGTATTTTTCATATTTAATTGGACGATGTATGATTATACCTACCAGAAAATGATGTGCAATGTGCTTTGTGCAGGGCATTTATAAAACTGTTCAGCTGTGCTAGGGCCTTATTTTCCCCTGTGGAGAGAAACAGCAGCTACAGTTTTGATGAGGTTTTTGTGCTTTTCCCTCTAACACACAGCTTACTCTGCTGCCACAGCTACTGCAAATAACACTACAAAGTGCCTCTGCTGGTTGCAGTAAAAGAAAAATGCAGCTTACAATTTACCAACAAACCACATGAAGCCAAGCAGGTAAAAAAATCAGTACTTTAGGAGTAATGGGAGCATATGTAAGATTCAGTCTAACTAAGGTGATGGAACTGCAGGTACAGCTGCTGATTCCTTTATGCCATGGCATCCAGGATAATGATTACAAACAGAAAAAATAAAAATAGCAAATTATGAAGTGGGACCAGATTGTTTACATAGGAAAACTAGCAAGGCTGGAAGGAATTACTACAGCTAGGACTTGGGAAAAAACCTAATAGATACTAAGAACTATCCCAGAGAAACAGAGACATTTTCTGTGTAGGCAAATGGCAGATGATCCTTTGAGAGAAAGTGATGTGATGGAAACTACAGCCAAACTTTTGAAGATGTGTGTATATATCTCCATACATAGATATATCTACTGTGACAACAGAGAAAAATCATGGAAACATATCATAAGGGTATGATAAGGTATCAATTTAGTGTTTCATCCAAAACTTGGGCTTGCAGAGCCTGTTACATCACAGGAAGAAGCATGAAAACAAAAATAGGAGGACTAGGTGCCAGGCAGCAGGTTATTATTTGGAATAATAATTATGTCTGGTAGTGGTGGGATGTCAAAAGGTGATGGAAAATGCACAGTTCTGGCTTTGGGATTTGAAAAGTTTACAATGACTCCTAAATGTCAATGTTTTGTAGTGGAGAGGGAAAAGGGAGATACAGAAGGGAGATACAGAGCCCAATTTCTGTAATACTTTATTTCTGATCCCCTAATTAGGAAATTAGAAAAATTTCACATTTAGGAAAGTGAAGAGGAAAATACCCTCAAAACCTAGTAGGGTGACATTCAAGGTAAATTTAAAAAACAAAAGCATGATTTTCTTTTTAAAGAATCAATGGCTCTAAAAAAATGGACTAGAAAAGCTGAAATCCTCTGATTAAAATAGAAAGGGCTCTGATAAGACAGCCATGGAGTATGGTACCCCTTGGATGAATGGAAGACAATGATAAGGAAATGTTGATATGACTAAATGGGTAATTTTAGAAGTTACTCAGCCAAATAGGAAACTTTCAGAGAATGGAAATAAAACTGTGTAAAGCCGAAAGGAAGGTATGTAACAGTTAAGATGAAGTTTGAGAAAGCTAAGAGGGAATCTGAAGAGCAAACAGTAGGAAGTTAAAACTGAAAATGAACATTTGCTCAGTACACCAAAAGCAGAAAGTGGAGATAATGGGCAGGCCACCCCAAACAAGTAGAAGAAACAATTAAAGACAATAAAGACATTGCCAAGAATCTAAATGATTTATTTGCATCAGTCTTCACTGAGAGGGTGCTGGAGTGGTATCTAAACGAGAGACTCACACTTTCCAAATATCAAAGATAAGGAGAGGTCATAGATTGAAGACTCAAGAGAGAAGTTGCTGGAACAAATCAATAAATCAAAGGCATTACGTTACCAGGTTTATCTGCTACTTCTGGAAGATTTCAGGAGAAAACTGAGAATTAAGTAACAAAGTTCCTAGCAAATACTTACTACAGCAGAGGACTGGAAGACAGCCAGTGTTATAACTGAGTTCGGAATTTTTTTTGTTGTCGGTGGTGGATTTTTTCATGGTGTTGGAGGAGCCCTGTCAGTTACAGACAGATAAAAACCCCCAAGACCCATACCTCTCAAATTATGAAGCACAGAAACAAATATGACATGACAGATACAAGTTAGTACAGTGTCTATAAGGACAAAAGAAAGGACTCTTTGTACCTACTACCAATCTCTGAGCAGGTTACACCAGCCAGCACACCTAAGCCTACCCAGGAGGTCCCAAGACTCAACCTACAGGCAAGTAGCAAATCATTACATCCCTGCTCCCCCATCCTTCACCATTGAAAAGAGAATAATGAGAAGAATGCTTATAATGGAACAGCCAAATAATGGTTATGCTGCTGTAGGGCAATCCAGCCTACCCTTGGGCAGTGTTGTAAAGCCAAGGAGAAATGTACATCTGGAATGCATATGGAACATAATGGTGGCCACACTGAAGCTCTGACTGGAGATTTCTTGTAGGTACAATGAATGGTAGCCTCTCTTAGATCAGCTTTTGGGATCTTTCTGCACACTGGCTAATCAACAGTCCCTGTGCTGCAGGGTTCTTCTCATTCTCAATCAGTACAATGACCTCTGCATTTAATCGTAATACAGGACTTGGGGAGTTAAGACTTTGATGTTTTTAAAAGAAAGTATCTTGGCCAGCACTGAGCACTAATATCACTTCTTCCCAGCTCTCTCCAGCTTTTTATGTAAATCTTTACATAAAGCCATTAAGAACAGAGAAAAAAGCTCTTTGGAAAATTATGCAGAGATATATTCTTATGCAGCCAACACTCCCAGGGGAAAAAGTGAAAACTACACAGAGCCTCCCGCCCCTTTTTATTTCTTGTCAAAGACATTGCCTTTTTTGGCTTTTCTTATATATACACAGAATGATGAACTGATATTTGTAGTTTAAATGTCTGGTTTAACTGCGTGGTTTCCACACAGAAATCTCTCACAAAATGTCAGGTTAGAAATAAAACCAAGCTCTAGAGGGATGAGGTGGGGAGGAAAGTAGAAGGTCCAGTGGCTGAAAAGCAAAATGGAAAAACGTGAGCAGAACGCAATATGGATCCATTTCCCAGCTCAGGCAGTGGTACTGGTACATGTGGTTGTTTGGGGTTTGGGGCAGGGAGACAGACACATTTCTCACTGAGTTGTTTCTGCTTTCTCTATTAACATTGCAACAGAAATTACAAATAGCCCTGAAAGGGGTAGTGCACCTCATCTCTTCCTCCCATGTAAACACAACATTAATACTGAAGATAAAGAAAATGGCAAAAAGTCCAATGTCTTGTTTTCTGCATTTTGCTTGTTAGGTTCCTGTTCGCCCTCCAGCAAATTCCTGGGTGTACCGATGTTGTGAACTTGACCAGTCCACGTTCAAGCAAACACTCACTCAGATTCCCAACACATTCTTTTCTCCCCGTCCAATGGGGAGTTTATTCCTAACAGTTCTGCTCCTTTTAATTATAAACTCCTTTAACGAAGTAGTTCTGAGACCTTGCAGCAGGCAGCAGGAGAGCACCAAGGCTACTAGTTGCCTTTTACTCGTTTATATTCACTGTTCAGCAAAGAAGTCCACTTAAAGCCTAAGGCCCAGAGCCTTCACGGATGGGCAGCACTGAAATGAGCCTACAAATCAGTATTCCCCTGGTACAATGTGCCTTATAGGTAAAATCCAATTCCTGCCTAAAAGAGATAAAGGGTTAGAGCCAGGCCCTTTATCTTATGAGACACATGTGAACAAGTTGCTCTGATGAAAACAGACTTTAAACTGACAAGTTCTGTTCACTTTCTGGCAGAGCTACTGATCTTCTTTACTGGACCACCAAAACAGAAGATGGCAAAGAAACACAAGGGAGATATTTCCTTGGCAAGGAAAGGAGCAGCATTTAGGACTGGGGCCAAGGCAGGGTGGGATATAGGGAATTTTCCTGAAAAAACAATTAATTTGAGAAAAAAAAGATCAACCGATATAATGTATACAACTGAGCCAGTAACACACCTTCTCAGGAGTGCAGTATTGTATAAGTGTCCCCTGTGTTTTCAAGGCTAATTCAGACCTTTGGCTCATCCTGCATTAACAAGGTCATCCATTGTTAACAGGGCCCCTGTGAAAGTTCACAGGTGAAAGTTCCCTTTTAAAGTAGTGCAGATTTGAAATTCACAGGACAGCGACCCGAAGATCTTCCTTTACAGATAAAAAGCATGTCAAATTATTAAATAGCAACATGAAATCCTATATTCTGAAGGTCTGTCTGTGCTCTGCAGTCAAGAGAGCGGAGTGCAATCCCAGCCCCTGCCCAGTCCCACCTTGGGTGGCTCAGAGGGCGCCTGGCTGGCCCTGCTCACATGCACCTCACGAACGCTGAAGCCGACAGAGCCGGGGCAGTCGGGGAAGGGATGAACGAGCATCGTCCGAAGATATGTCACTTCAAATTTCTACTGTTAGAACTTCCAAATATGATATAAAAACAGAAAGTATTTCTCAGTTTGGAGTTCGAAGGCCAGGCCCCAAACGCGGAGCGGCTCTTGCCTCAGTGTCCCTGTTGGCCAGGCAGGGGCCCCACGCTGCTAACTGTTGTTCTCTGCCGTCAGGTATTTGAGGGCCGCGAAGCCGTAGTGGCGCGACATGTCCTGCTGGAACTCCTCCTTGAGTGTCTTGAGACAGATGCGGTATTGCTTGTTGGAGCGGAACTTGGTGATGTCGAAGCTGGGCGCGTGCGGCATGTGGATCATGTAGGCATTGGGCAGCACCGTGAACTCGTACTCCTGCGGGACAAAGACACGGCTGTGAGGGGGACCCCAGCCTCCCACAAGGCTCCTCCTCAGCCAAACGTGCTCCAGCGCCGAACGGCGCCGTTTGTGCCTCAGGAACAGCAAACCCATCAGGGATCTCAAACAAACTGCCTTTGTTTTTTCAAGTAGCTTTTTCTTGGTTTTTTGAAAGATCTATGTAATCTTTTTGTGAAATCATAGAGTTTTTGGGGTTGGAAGGCACCTTTAAAGACTATCTAGAGCAACCTCCCTGCAATGAGCAGGGACATCTTCAACTAGATCAGGTTGCCAGAGCCCCATGCAATCTGTCCTTGCATGTTTCCAGCAAGGCGGGGTCCATATCCCCTCTGGATAATCTCCTCCAGTGTTTTCCACCCTCATGGTAAAAAAAAAAACCCAGCTATTTTAAAACATTTTACCCCATATAAGCCAAATAATGGGGAAATAGTACAAAAGGCACACCTGAAGCCATGTCTGCCACACAGATTTTTCAGCAGTGTGATTGCAACAACACAGCTGCGAGTACACAGCTAGAGTCTTACGTGTCCATGCAAAAACATGGCTTTGCCCCTAAAATTTATTTTGCTTGGGATAATGGAATAAGCTACATTTACAAAGGCAAAACTGCATGGCATATGTTGCTTTGCCTATATGCTAAGATACTTATGGAGACAAAACTGTCCAAAATTATTTATAAACCTGAAATAAGGGGAGAATATGGTGTCATTTATAGGCAATGTGTGAAAATGAACCCGCTAATTCCATATGCTTTGAGACATTTTTACTCAAATTAAGTTCTTCCTCACAAAGTTTGAGATACTGTGCTAACTCTCCTTCTCCTGTAAAACTACTTCACTTATTCTCTTTATATCTGACCAAGTTCTTTGACAATTTTTGTTATTAAAAAAATGATGGTTGATTTAAGTCTCCATTATTCCTGTAAGACTCTTTCAATTTTTACAGGTAAATATATGAAGATTAGAGCAAAGCTCAAAAAAGCCTAATTCTTAGACAAGCTGAAAGTTTGCTAGTGTAGGATATGCAACAAGCAGGTATCTTCTGCAAGGAACTAGGTAAGAGATATGAACCTTGTTATTCTGTAGCCAAATGAAGTACCCTAATCATTTTTTTCATATGGAATTTCAAGAAGTCAGATTTGTATTGGATGCAAATGATAAAGAAACTTTGAAGCCTGCACAGGCAATTTCCTATTTTCTCACACGGTTTCTATCTGCAGATGTTGTTGGATGGACTCTAACCCATTAACAAAAGAAACTGGCCAGGGAAGGAACAGCCACAGAGCATGCTGCCTTTACAGGAAGTGGTGCAAAATACCCCCTGGCTTGTAATTCCCAGTCACTTGTAGATTTAGGACTCTGTAGAGAGACAAAGAATATCTGCTGCAGAAAGGCAGAGTACTCCAAAATATTTTAATAGAGATTTATGGGAAAAAAAACACACGTGTGCTGATAAACCTGAGTGTTTCACCTGTATGTGCAGCTAAGTGCAGATGCAGCTCCTGTTTCCCTATAAGAATTCCTGCACCCTGACAGACAGTGCTAAAGTGGTAAATCTTGGTGCCAATTTACAGTGTTGTCATATACAGGAATGGGATCCTCTGAGATTCTGTTTGGGATGAAAAATGTATAGCAAGAGCAAAATAATCTGATGCTCACATGCAGAATTCATGCACCTGGAAGATGCTTAGGACTAATGGGGAACCAAATGTGAAACCAAAGGCTGGCACCATGGAGTGAGGAGAGCTGATAAACTACAAAACTACAGAAAATTACTCTAAAGAACCTTAAAACTACAGGCTGGAGCTGCAGAGGAAGATGCATTCCCCTCATACAACCTTTTCTTTGTTCTCTGTTAGCATCTCAAGGCTGTAATACTGCAGGTCAGGGACTGTCTACACTCTGCAGTGCTAACTCTTCAGCACAGCAGTGTTTTCATTCCTCTGAACGGCCTTCAGACACATAAAGCCTTTCAAAAAACTGGGAGTCTACTGCTAATAATCCCCTTTGAAATATGCTGGGCTAGGGTCCTGGAAAATGGGACACTTACAGTCTAGCACAGTCACTGGAAAGGTAGGGAAAGGTTTCCTAATGACCTCTCCCTACCACATGGAAGCCTCTGTTGAGAAGGCAATGCACTTGCAGGAACCTCCGTCCCTAGCTCCTAGATTACAAATTCTTTAGATGGAGACTAGCATTATCTGTGCATTTGTACAGCATCCAGCTCAGTGGACACCTGCATGCTCCCAGAATAACAATGATGATTATCTCCATGCCATGTCCTGCTCTGAGGGATGGCAGTGGCACAGGCTCTTGGAAAGGGATCTGGAACAGACCTCTTGACAGACACTGCAGTCATGAGGAGCAGCGAAATAACTGAGAAGCTGCTCTGCCTGCTGGTAATGAAGCCAGCCTAGCAGCTGGCAGCAACCTGATCTGTGCACACCCCAAAGCAGAGGAATGCCACAGGCGAGGTAGCTGTGCCATCCCACGTCTCCTCTAGGCTCATTTGTGGGAGAACTTGCCAATATCGAAATTGCTACAGAGGAAAAAGAAGCTTCTTTTAAATGATACTGTGCTCAAGGCTGGAAGAGTGAGAAGAACAATTTCCCAGAGTTAATTCCAACCCAATGGTCATTTAAAATAATTGCACTATGATCAACTTTGAAAACTGTTTCTATTTCCCATGTGTGAATCTCTGTGGTGAGCAGACACCTCTGAACAGAAGAGTTAAATCCTGAATGCTACGTAAGAGCTGCCACTGGGAACATAAGCCTTGTTACCCATATTAACAAATAATAAACCATTAGCCTGGCACTCTCCACAACTGATGATTAATTAATTAGTGCTTGGAAAGTGCACTAGAAAATCACAGTGCTATAGCAAAGTATTATTAACATTAATATAAGGGAAAATGTTTTTTCTAGTCTGTAATAATTTTTTGTCATGTAAGTAGGTAGAAGTTTGTTGGGAATGACCTTGGCAAACAGAGGGCAAGTGGCTGCCAGCCCAAGGTGACCATGTGGTTTTGTAAGCAGAAGTAGAAAATATCCTTCCCACACATGCCTGAACACAAATACACTGTAGCCCACACCCCAGAGACACAATCTCCCACTAACTTGCTCCAAGCCTTCAGCTGCTCTGCTTCACATAAACTGGTAAGACTTGAGCAAAGAAGGATCTGCTCTATTCCAGATTGATAGCAGAAGCTATCACAGGAGGATAAAGATCACCAAAACTGATTTTTTTGGTTAGCATGAAATGCTACTAGTTCAAACACTGGGATTGAAACCAAACTGAAAAAAAACTACAACAAACCCAAACTAAAAAGAAATGCCATGACCCAGACCTCACTGATGAGCACAGTGGGTAGCTCCTCATCCAAGAACAGCAGGGTGATGCAAATCCTGCCATTTCAGTGAGCAGCAGCACTGGGCTCCCATGGAGCCATAGTTACTGCCAGTCTCTAAGATTTAGGTTGGCAGCAGGGACCTTGGCAACTCTGAGAGCTCTGGTGCCAGTATGGGACTCCTGAGCTTTCTCTGCATCCTTATTATTATAAATTCTGCCCAGCAGCTTTATCCCAAGTCACAGATCCAAGAAGCAGGTAGCCCAAGGCTCAAGTACCTGGATCCTTTAGAGTCAGCACCACAGCCCCAGACTTTGGAAATGTAAAGACCAACTTTGCAGAAATGTGCTGTAAATTCCAGCCAGAAATTAAAGATGCTTGCCTAGAATTCAACTGAAGATTAGTTTTTGAATTGCAAATTAGTATTTGGGACTCATAAACCTCAATTTAATGGAAAAAATCCAGCTAGGTCTACATGTTCCTCAATAAGTGATGGGATTGGCAACAACTGCTTCAATGCTTTGGTCAGGAGGAAAGCACTACAGGGATTGTGCCTCTGCAAAACAATGGATTTCTTAAAACTGACAAATAAATGAACTCAGACTCAGCTCTTCATTTAATATTTGACAAGCATTAAACAGAGAGTTCCCAACTCAAGAAGTGCTCATTAAGAAGCTCAGTAAGGCCAGATGAACACTTTGGTGATGCAAAGCGTGACGCCTTCCTTCAGGACCCAGCCTTGGTTGGAACAACCCTGCTGCAGAGCCCTAGTGAGATACTCATGTGTCACCTCCTCACCTGTGCATCCAGTTCCATGATGTGAGCTACTTTGTTCCAGCCAAATCCCACAAAGCGCCTGTCATACTCCGGGCAGTCCTTCCTGACGACGACGTATGGCTCAAAGTCTGCTTCCCACTCGACGCGGTAGGGTGTGGTGGCCGTTCGCCACTTGGCAAAATTTGTTGGCGCGTGCCCTTTCGTCCAGACGTGGTACCTGAAACAGACATAAATGGCAGGGACGTAGGGAGGCAATTAGATAGAAAGCACCTTGGCAAGGAAACAAAATATTACTTGTTAGCTCAAAAATAAGGACATTAGCTTACAGTTCACATCATCATTTTCAGGACGCGTCGGAGGCAATTTCTAGGACTATTTCCAGCATGCCTCCCGGAGCTCAATGCTTAAACACATCTAGTTGGTGAAGGATAGTGTGAAAACAGTACCTCATGCTAATGTGAGAAACCATTACACAGTACCCTGTCAGTTCATCTGCACTACAAGGGCTGTGTCTTATTCCTAGCAACCAAGCAGCTGCATCAGTCGGTGCTCTAAAATCGGTGTGGAAATCTGCAGCTCAGACAAAGTCCCTAAAATTAGCTATTTCCCCACCATGGTGATATTCATGATCTGTTTTATAGGCAATTTTATAATTTGCATGAGAGACACCTGCAGCTCTGGAGAGATGTTCTATGTTATTAATTATGGTTATTACTATGGCAGGAACCAAGCTGCATAATTACATTAATAAGTAAAATATTACATAAAGGCTTTCTGCTCTAAGTTCTACATTGTGGGGAGTACTCCTGTGATCTTCAGTAAGGTAATCAATTTGATTTACAGAAGAAGATCCTTTTATATTTGGCTAATCTAGCTTAGGTCACAGCAGGTCTCCTCCTAGCACAGCTTGAATGCACCCCATTAGTGCCAGGGTCAATGATTCTCTCGCCCACTTATTCTAACACTTTCCAAAAATCAATGAGACAAGCTCTTTCTGCAGAGCCACAGATTAATTAATGAAACAAAGGAATAGCAGGTATCTGTATTACAACACTGAGATAGATAGGCAACAGAAGGGACAAAACAAATATTCTGCCAATTTGTAAAGTAAGGTACATTGAATTCACAGGGATGACTCACATGCTAAAAGTGAAGGGATTTGAGCATTAAATATTGCAAAATTACAGCATGATGTAATGCTTAAATCCCAGAAATTCTCAAAACATTGTAAGCCATTGCTAAAAACAGGAATATAAAATCACAGCCTAGGAGTTTTCTTTTGGACATATTTGTATAGCTTGTAACAGGAGAATCAGAGGTGTTCATCTTTGCTGACTCTCTCTTTAGGGGAAGTGCAGGAAGACTGAATTATTACCATGGCATTGGGGTCACAAGTAATGCATGGTCCTTTGTATGCTGCATTTCTAAACTGTAAATAGGTTTTACTACTCTCAGATATCTCACTTAGGGACCAGGAGAAACAAAACCCTTTTGTATTAAAAAACAGTGAAATAATGACAGTGACGGTGAAATAATTCTCCAGAGATTATTAGCAAGCAGTGCCAGATTCACAAAGATGCTTATAACCCTTAATGCTCTTTGGAATCATTGCCAAAAAGCCTATCCCTTTTCTTGGCCTCTTTTGGAGATGAGTGGCTAACCTAGCCAGTCATGAATGTGCAGCTATCTATGCTGAAAAAAAACCACAACCCAACAGTCACAATGTGGGGTTTAAAATTACATAAGATTGTGGAGGGTGCTGTATCTTCTAAAATCCTACCTCCGGCATTTTGAAATTAATTATGATAATAATAATAATAATGACTGCTAAACACTTATGAAGTGATTTGTATCTTCAAAGCCCATACAAACTTTGGTTAATTGAGAGATTCCTGCAGAGAAGCAGCCAAATGCTGCTGTTATTCTAGTAACACTCTCCCACTGATTTAAACAGGGGGTAACAAGATGCTAACCATAAAAATAATTCAATTTCTTTGCACCCTTTTTGGAAGTATCAGTGTAAGCACCTATAGCAGCTCAAGTATAACCTCTGTGGATCAAGACAGCCAACTAGCAGGGCAAAATAAATAATTGGGAAGAGACAATAAAGGGAAAATATGGAACTGAGGTTGCAGAGACAAAAAAAACCCCAAAAAAACAACCAACCAAAAAACCAAAAAACCCAGAAAGGAAGGAGTAGATTTGATAGTACAAAACCAAATAACAACAGAAGTTTTTTACTTACCTCTTCAGACTGATTGATGTGAGTAGAAGGAAAGAGAAAGGCAAAAGGACAGCTAAGGTCCTGACAAAGAGGTAAATGAATATTGGATGCTCAAATGAGGTGTACACACAATAGTGATGGAGGAGTAATTAGACTGAAAACAATCTAATTGTGAGAACATTAAAAGAATTGTGAGAGCATTACTGGATTACATGTGTACAGACAATATATATGGGTTCATACACAGATAATCTGCTGGAACTAGGTCTTGGTCAATGGCTGATTACATGAGCTGTACTGCAAAGAAAGAGAAGCAGACACCATTCTGTGGAGGTCCGTAGAGAGGAAGCTCCCATTAAAGGATGAGTCATTCCAGCAGACTTTACTATTGGTGATGCAGTTGTGAGAAGAGGTTCACTGTCTATACTGGTATTCCATCTCACAGGACAAATGAATAAATGCAATTTTCTGTTCAGGCCCTTCTCACTCAAAACTTAAATACACATTGAATTTTAAGGCCACACTCCATCTGACAATCCCTGGAGTACTTTATGAAAATTGGGAACAACATATTTTTCACTATGGTCGCATTTTTGACAAATCCAAACCAAGTAATTCAATCTCCCTAAAATCACAATGAGTTTCTTTCCCACGGTTCATGGAAAACAACTCGAACACACCACATCCCCTCCTCCTCCACTTTGAAAACAATGCTTCATTTTACCTGTGTTCCTGATTGCTTTTATTTAAAATAAGATTTCATTTTGCTAAAGTTAACAAAATGAAGTAGTTATTCTTCTCAGAGTAGTCTTCCTCCCTGCCTCCTCTAAGTTTCCCGCTTCAGTGAGAGAGATGAGTGAAAGAAAAACTTTCCCACTTCTGTTCCCAGATGCTTCAACATTTTGCTGGATTGTGGATGTAATCAGTTAATTAGTTAATCAGTTGTTGGTTTTTATGTTTTCTCACTACGCTGATGTGTCTCCTGCCAGCTGTGGTTTCCCCTGTGCCTGGGTGTGTGTGTGTATTACATTTGTGCCCATCAGCTCCTAGCCAGGCCCTGAGCAGGCACATCCTTGGGAGCACACTCCCAGCCAGCAGCTGCCAGGGGAGCCAGCGAGCTGGCACAGAGCCCCTGCTGTGGCACAGGGTTTCACACATCACACCTTGCCAGCCACAGATGCTCACTTGCCTTCTCTTTTCTTCTGCTGCTGACTGAGGGATGTAATTGAGAGCCTTTGTGTACTTCTTAGCTGCCCAGAGGTAGAAAAGGTCACCATTTCAAAAAGAGGTGACAAAAGCAATTTCAGTGAGGGAAAGATTGTAATCTACCATGTGGTGTGAGGGACTGGGATGCTGCAGGCACTCTCAGCAATCACTGTCACACCAGTCCTCCCCAGCTCACTCCCACCTGCTCAGCAGCAAATTGCAGCATTATTAAAGCACCTTGAAGGTGGAGGTGGAAATTCTCAGCCCAGAGCTGAGAGCCCAGATGCTTTGTGGCTGTCTACAGATTTGAGCAATGAAATGAGCCAAAACAAACTGTGGAAGCATTTGTAAAATGTATCCTACATTAATATGTATACCAGCTACAGACTGTATGTCCTTCAAGTCTTACTTAACCTTGCTTTGGAAAAACTCCCACTGGTGTTAAAGACATTTTTCCTGAGTGAGACTTGAGAAAGGATTTGCAAATCCAGCTGTGTATGTAACACACCAACATGCTGTTTAGCTTGGAGATGAAATCTGTAGTGGAAGGCCACCACTGTGCAGCTGACTGCTGACATCTGAAAATCCTGAGGGTGTTATTTTCCACTGGAAAGAATTTTTCTCTCAACTATGGAAGAGGAAACTATTTTTTATCAGATCTCTTGTTAATTTTTATGTCTTTTGTATGTTAAAGAATGATGGCAGAGGGAAAAGTACTTGCTTTATCAGTATCCTTAAGTAACTTTCCAGAGGCATGCCTTTCTCAGTCACCTCAAGTCTCTGTTTCAAGGCAGTTACTGGTAGAATTCTGACACTGATCAGAATTATGTTTTTCAGACTCACACAGGCTGTCTGCTATGGTATGTGCATGCAACCACATGAGGGAAGGGTGGCTGCTGCAACGAGAGGTGTGTAATACAGGGAATGAGAAAAGTGTGAGGAAAGCTCTAAAGTAAGAGAAGGATGAGAGAGGTATGATATGGAGCTCCTCCAGCCATGGATAATGCCTAGCTTTTTCATAGCTTTTATCTCAGATCTCAAAATACTGCAAAAAGGAGAGGTGAACATTGTTACCTGTATTTCAGAGAAGGGGAACAGAGATGTAAGAAAGCAAAGTGATTCGTGTGGCACCTCTCAGCAGGGGAGCAGTGGAGCTGAGAAGAGAACGCAAGTCTCCTAAGCCCCCTCTCTGTGCAACATCATAAGGCCATATTGTACTCTTCCCATTGCTGAGATGCTTTACAAATGTCTCCTAATCAGACCTTACCACACACACCCAAGAGATGGTTAACCCCTGCTAGCTGCATTTTAAAACTGAGGAGTCTGGCAGGTAATAGAAGTGACTTGTTCACAGCCACAAAAGAAGTCTGCTTCAGAGAGGAGTTCCAAATTTAGGTGTTCTTTGCTTCTTAGCCTCTAGTCAGAGTACTCTCTTACCCCTGCATGGAGGAACTCTAGGTATTTAAGCAGCTGTTTCACACTTTAAAAGAGCATAAGACAAGCCTGTGTTTGTTTTTCCAGTAAGGAAGAGAACCAATGGGCAGAGATACATTACTTTTGGTCACATGAGAAGAGACAGCTACACAGATAGTATTTGGCAGCCAAAAAGTAAATTACACGCACTTGAGTGTAATGGTCACGCTTGATTTTTTGTAGCGCAATAAAAAATGATGAAAATAAAACAAATTCGATTTAACAACTGAAGTCCTTCAGTAGAGGACTGCAATACAAGATAAAATGCTGAGCTTAAAGACAGAATATATCCACATGGTTCTGTTCACTGCCTCTCTTCGAAAAGGGAAAAAAATTCCAATGAGTTTCTTAATGCAGCTGACAGTGAAAGAGAAGAACCAAATATTCAGACGCACATAAAAACCAGAGGTAATTACCACAGGTTAAAGAGTACTTTCCATTACCTGAATGTAAAGAGGGTTCCCATGTCCAACATAGATAACAGCTCTGCTTTTGACTTGGGGAAGGAGAGGCGGTAGCGCAGGGTCTCAAAGGCAGGTACAATCAGAGCTTTCTTGGTGTTAGCTAGGTCCAGCTGGATGACAGACTTCCTGGCAAAAGAGAAACAACAAATAAAAGCAGGAAAATTTTCAAATGAGCAAATCACTGAGCTTTGCAAGATAAAGTGCAAAAAATGGGTAGTTAGGATACTATAAATGTAACTATGGCCCATATCTTTTCCTACAGGTGTTTCAAATTTTCTCCTTTTGGTCTGCTACTCTAAGAGCAGAGAGAGCAACAGAATTCCAAATGAGCTTGTGTGTTTGACTGACCAATGCTGATCAGACTGCTAGCAGCAGAGAAGTGCTCTACACTTGAATGGACTGGGATGCCTCTCTTTTTCCTTCTTTTTGCTGCAAGTTGTTCAGTGCAGAGACTGTTTCTGTGTGTGAGTGTGTGTGCACATATGAATTTCACACAGGGCTCTTTTCCAGGCAGGGACCTTGGGATGACTGTTGCAGCAGAGGAACAGCTTAGCAATCTCTCATCCTGCCTGCCAGAGGTGTTCAGCCTATTTTCTTCTAACAAACTAAAATTCAAAGAAAAAGAAGTTACTTTTCCATCTCCCAACTGAATCTTACTATACCTGTCATTGGAAATAACTCTGTCTCAATTTTTATTTCATTATCTCCATATTTCATACCAGAAATATGCCTCTCTCTCCCTGTCAAAGTCAGTTCCCTTTAACAGGATTCACTGTCCTGACTTTTATGTTACTGCAACAAGCAGTCAAGGAGAATGTTGACAAGCAGCAAACTCTCTACAGCCTTTTAAGTTGAAGGAATTGGGATCACTGTCCTAATAACAGAAGAACCAAACAAACAATTTTTCTAAGCCCAGAATACCTAGAATTCATTTATACTGCTGTCACAGAAAATGAAGATGAGCACAACTACTTCATAAAATCTGAATTTTAGGAAATTCATACCACCCTATAGGCCTGTTCTATATTAAGCAATCTGTTCTCAGCTCCTTACTGCAAAGTTTGCATTGTTTAAAGAGCCCCTGACACATTCCAGTTAACTTTTCACAAATGAAGGATTTTAACAGCATCTTATCATAAATAGTTTTTTACTTTCTTCTTGTAGCTTCTCCCTCACCATCACTAGAGGCCAAGATACCTGCATGTCAATAGACGCATCCTTCACAACCAGCGGTTGTGACCTTCCAAAGCTGTTAAGCAGTGCCAGTATACAGTCTTTATGATGCTTTCAAATGTTTCTTCCCTTTCACACTTCGGAGAGCAGGGGATACTAATACAATTTCTTTACCAAAATCTAAGTCTTTCTGGTCTCTGTGCAATCTATCAGCCTTGAGCAGTACAGTTTTGGGGATTTGGTTCTAGGAAGGAGCAGGTAACATTTGTAGTGATGCTCATCCTTTGGGCTCTGCAAGGGAACAGCAGCTTCCATTTATTGCTGTTACTATAACTTTGTTTTATGGAGATCTCAAAAGGCCCAGGCAAAATTCAAGGCCTTGCTGTGCTTGCACTGTCCAAGAGTAGGAAACAATCCTGCCCACCAAAGTTTACAATCTGAAGCTGACCAAAGATGCAGCAGGCACAGGTATCAAGCACAAGTAACAGCAGAAACTTTCAGACAGAGCAACTAGTGATGAATGTAGTGCTGAATGTGGCTTATTCTCTAATATATGGGATATAACTACAAAAATGCTGTTGATACCAGTGATCCTTTCTGCACATTCTCTGCTGCTCCTGTCACCTCCAAATTTCATACAGTTGTCAATGCCTGAACAATTAGAAGGAAAAAATGATAGTACCTGCATGAAGAAATCAAAAAGCAGAGGGAAAAAACTGACAGAACAGCCTGAAATCACTTGCACTGACAAGAGGTCAACATGAAGAGTGAGGTAAGTGAAGAGAAACAGAGGTCTGGAAACAAGATACTTGAGGTGCGTTCAGGCAACCACAGAGATGTGGAGATACTTCCAAAGTGAAAAAAATTAGCAGGATATTCTCTGCAGAAATATTTTCAAGAGATGCATGAAATATTTCATGAAGTGCATGTTGGTAAGGTCGGTTGACCTTGGCTGGACATCAAGTGCCCACCAAGCTGCTCTCAGCCCTCCTTCTCTGCTGGGTATGGGAGAGAAAATAAGATGGAAAACAACTTGTATGTTGAGATAAGGCAGTTTGCTAAAACAAAACCAAAAGGCTGAGTATGCACCAACAAAGAGAGAAATAGAGGATTTTATTTTCTCCTTCCCATCAAGTGATGTCTGGCCACTTCGGGAAGCAGGGCTTCAGCACACATAGTGGTTTTTGCAGAAGGCAAGCATTCTAAATAACAAATGTCCTGCCTTCCTCTTCCTTTTCTCAGCTTTTATATCTATCTGAGCTGACACCATTTGGCATGGATTCTCTCTGTTCAGTTTGGCTCAGCTGCATTAGTTGTGTCCTCTCCCAAGATCCTGCCCACTCCCAGATGGGGGGCAGAATGAGGGAGAGGCAGCACTGATGCTGTGCCCGCACTGCTCAGCAGTAGCCAAAACACCGGTGTGTCAGCAGCACCTTCCCAGCTACCAAGGCAAAGCACAGCACTGTGAGGGATGCTACCATCACACGGGGATAGACCTCCAGCTCAGCCACAACCAGTGCAGGTGGTAAGGTCAAAGTGGAGAGCTCTCCAAAATGAAGTTGGGAGTTGAGGCACTCAGACAAGAAGCCCAGCAGCACTGATCTCTGAGTAGAATCACCTGCCCTTGAGGAGGACTCTGTGACATAGAAGACTGATGCAAAGGGAAGAAGAAATCACTGCTGGCATCCAGATGTTGAACTTCAGAGACAAGACAAAGGACAACAGAAGCCATTTAAACTGTGATAATGGCAGGGAGGACTTGTTAGAGAAAAAAACACCTTCCATTTTCTTCTCATAACTTGGCTAGTGGTCTGCTCCTTGGACAACCAGCTGAAATTCTAACTTCTTCCTACTGAAAGCAAATCTACCTTTTCAATTTTCTGTTGGGTGACTTTTTCTCCTGTTTTGAGTGGAGGTGCTATTTGTTGGTTGGCTGGTTCTGTTACCATTTGGGAATAAAAAAATTTTGTTGATGCTGCCAGATATCTGGAATATAACGTAGGGAATACATTTGCTTATTTTGCAAGCTAGCACTGGGTAAACTAGGTAATTCTTGCACTATCCTGATGAGGGCTGTTTTTTTTGGATTCAGCAGTATTGATTCAGTATCCACTTTCCTTTATTATCCTTTTCCCCCTAACCCCAAAACAAGGATTTATGACTATGAAGAGCTAGCTCTCTTTGTGCTAGTGTTGTCCAGGAAACCATTTCCCAGCTATCTTTGTGTTCAGACTTATGTGTGTCATTCTGACACGGTGAAGGTTGGGTTAAATTTAAAATCTAATCAACAGTATTTTTCACAAAGCAGTGAAGAAATGAATCCTAAATCACAAGAGTCTCCTCACAGGTTGAATGAACTCCAGCATGCTGATATCAGCCTTCTAATCTGCATTGTTATTTTCAAAAATTAACACAGAATTCTCATCCTCATATAAGTAGACAGAAAGATCATTCCCATTTTTGGAGGATAGAGAAGCTCAGACAGAGAAAAGCAAGCAACCTAATCCTAAAGGACTACACTCAGAAAAAAAAAAAGAGTCCATCATCAGGATTTGGAAAGTAGTTGGTTGCAAGTTACAAATATGTCAGTCACTGAACCTGTGGTCAGAACAGGAGAGTTGCCAACCACTGTTTAATTCATTTGAATGCTCTTCCTCTCTGCAGAAAACACAAATTCATAGACTACAAAGGCAACCAAAACAAAAATCCCAATAGACACAATCTGAACTATCTCCCTAGCTGAGATGCTGAAAAATAAGCAGAACTACTTCACAACTCATGATGTAGGGGATGGATACAAAACCCATGGATGGAGCTGGGATGCTGGGTCCCAATTTATGCTAAATGTGTCACTGGAAGCCAAGGGCACATTTTACACAAATGTGTCAGGAAAGAACTTCAGTGCTAGCTGTGACAGCTGTAGATAAGCAGCCTGTCTCACTGTTTTGTGTTACAAGTCACTGTAGGATGACCCAAGCACCTTACTTGCAGCAACCAGAAGAAGCCTTTACCTCTGGGGCACTGACAAGGTGACCTCAGTAACTACTGGTAAACAGGAAATCTTTAAATGCTACATTTCCTTCTGTACTTCACAGAGGACTAAAGCAGGACTAAGAGGGTGTTTGATGGAGACAAAAACATTGAAATGGTTTTACTTAGCAGCTATGAAAAAGCTCAATTAGCACAAATCTAAGTGCAAAGCAACAGATAAACAAAGGGATAAGTAACCATCAGCTCCATCAGCTTCTCCTTCAAAACTGGTTGCAACCTTTATCATATGACACCTTCAAAATAAGTTGAAAATATTTTTCGAAATTTCTTTCTTTTCAAGAATATATGATCTGCAGAGACATAATATGCAATATATGTAAATCAGCAAACTTTCAGTTGAGTAGGACTTTCCTGGCTTATTCTGTACAGTGATGCCCAAAATACCACACTATTTCCATTTGTTTATGGTTGTTCTATCTGAGGAAATGAGGATAAAAATGTTTTACGTCTCTCTAACAAACAATTGCTGCCATTCAGACAGATAGCACTAATCAGCTATTTGCAGACGCAGTGGGAACAGTCAATGCAGAAACACACAGGGTATCCATATTTAAAATAATCTCAATGCAACTCCCTGCTACTTTGCTTAGAAAAATCGTTACAGAAAAAGCTACAAAAGCATCTAGTCCACATGCAAAAGAAAAAAACAAAAACAAAACAAAACCAAATAACCCATCCAATCACTTTTTTAAGGGCTGCTAGTAGCAGATTAGCAACTTCAATATTCCCAGGCAAGAGAGACTCTCAGTCAGAGCTGAGGTGGCATAGGCCTTAAAAAAGGTTGGCAGGGTAACACAAAGTCTCAGAGGCAGCAGCCCTCAGAGAGCATCTCTGCTTTTTTCTGACACATCACCAATGCACCGTCATGGTGCACTTAGTTCTGTAATACAATATCACCTTATGAGAATTATTTCTGTGGTTGTAATATCTGAAGGAAATGGTGGTACTTCATTCTGCCTTCTCTCCTCTCTTCTTCCTTTAATTGCTGGCTCCCATCCGTGCACTGTGAAGCAGTGTGAGAGAACAAATTCCTTATCTAGCACTCAATGCCAGTATCAACAGCTGCCATCCTTACTGTGTCCAGCACTGATCTGAAAAAATGTACCACTGTGCAACACTAACAGAAGAACAGAGAAATGAAGAATAACTCTTCATCCACATATCTGGAGATAGCTAATGTGGGCAAGGAACAGGATAATTTTGGAGTGCTCCTAGCACAACTTGAAAAGACTTCAACAAAGTAAGAGGAAAGCAAGCTTACACAGTGTGCTAATACTTCACTGACACAACTGAAATTCAGCATCTTGAAAGCCATAGAATAGTTTGGGCTGGAACCCAAAGGTCATCTAGCCCTTTTTTTTTCCAAGTAGCTTTTTCTTGGTTTTTTGAAAGATCTTATTTCTCTTTTTGTAAAATCATAGAATTTTTTGGGTTGGAAGGCACCTTTAGAGATAATCTAGACCAACCTCCCTGCAGTGAGCAGGGACATCTTCAACTAGATCAGGTTGCTCAGAGCCCCATCCAGCCTGACCTTGAAAATTTACAGGGATGTGATACCCATCACCCGTCTGGGGAACCTGTACCAGCATTTTGACATCCTCATTGCAAAAAAACTTACTCCTTGCATCACATCTAAATCTCCTCTCTGTTAGTTTAAAACCACTTATCCTTGTCCTATCTCAAGAGGTTCTACTAAAAAAGTTTGTCCCCATCTTTCTTATTAAGCTCCCTTGATATACTGGAAGGCCATAATAAGGCCTCCCTGGAGCCTTCACTTCTCCAGGCTGAACACCTTAACTCTCTGACCCCTTCCTCATAGAAGAGATACTCCACCCCTCTGAATAGTGTTTGGCCCTGTAAATGTCTTACAGAGTTAAGCCTGAAAGAAAGAAACTCCTCCCTAAGTTCATGATACCATAAGGCATATTTTCCTTTACACTCCAAAGCCCCAGGCTTATGAACTGACAGGGAACACCTACAGGCAGGCCCTCACTGGAACACTTTGATCAACTTTTACCAAATTAGAATGGAGATGAAAAGCTAAACTGGTCAGGATAAAGGAACTGACATCCTCCTGTCTGGCCACAGGGTGTCCTCCTTGCTCTATGCTTTGGCCTCAGATGACCAGCCTCTGCAGGGCAGAAAGGTCTTAATTAAAAAAAGCTCAGTTAATGGATCAGAAGTCTGTAGTTTGCTCAGCCCAACGTGCTCACATGCAGTATGATACAATACACACTGATGTTACTCCTCCCAGTTTCCTTATGGCAATTACTTTGCCTTGACAGGTGCTGGCATTGCAGTCATATTTTTGAGCTGGTTAGACTCTTTTCAAGATAAGGAACTGAATTAAGAGTGTGTCACACAGAGAACAAGTTCAATACTGCTCTGCATGTTTTTCTGTCACTGGCATTAAGAACCAGAGATGTTTAGAGAAACTGCCTGTTTCACATCTCTGCTAATAAGCAACGCTCTTGGACATTTAATAATACTTAACCCATTTCAATTTTCAAATTGGTTGCTCTGCAGCCCTGAGATTATTCTAATGGCTAACAAGGCTCACATTCAGACCTGGATTTTTTCTTTCATAACTATTTTGCTTTACTTTCCAGTTACAGTCCCTTCTTCTACTCTAAAACTTCTTGCTCTTTGCTGGGCATTGTCACACCTCGGATCATTATACGCTTCCGTTTTCAGATCTGCTCAAACTGCTTTGTTTTGGGAATATGTGAGAAGGTTAGGGAAGAGGGGGAGTGCAGAGGCTGAAATGGTGGGTGGCAGTGGGAATTCCCTCACTGTCCATTACCTGAGGTACTCGTAGAGTCCATACATGGGCAGGAAGTCGATGTCGGACAGAAACATGTATGGTGTGCTGATGTGCTTCATGGCCACGTTCCTGAGCAGGTTCACAGGGTAGAACTGCCCCTCCTTGTACACGATGTGGTAGCCAACGTTGTGGCGGCTCATCAGGACCTCCGAGCCCTGAGCATAGCGCAGGAACTGCTGGGCTTCTGCGTCAGAAAGGTACAGTGCCAGGCTGATGGGACCTTCCCAGTGCTTGCAGATGGCTTCAAGCATCTGGAGCCTGGAAAAGGAAGGGTGAGAGTAAGAAAAAGCTATTTCCCTGTCTGGGACTCTGTGTCTGTGTTCACCTGACCAAATGCAGAGATCTTTCTCTAAGTGAGACAGATTGGGGATGCTTTATATGCTGTGGAAAGCAGTAAATATTTCTACAGTGTAATTCATTATTTAAGATCGTAAAGTAGAGGTCTCCTCCTGGACAGATGGACTGCACCCTGGATACACCAATCTCACTAAATCCAATGTAGCCTAAGATGGCCCTAGATCAGATACCTAAAGCACCATCATTTTCCGTCTAAAGCTTTGATGCCACAGGAAAACCCACATGGATAACAGGACTTATCTAGTGGGAGCTTGAGCAATTGCAAGGATCTGTTCATGTGGATCTGCTTAGAGGATAGAGGGCTCATAAACTTCAACTCTGTCTGGTGCCCAATTCACATTTCAGGTCAAGCTATTCCCACACAGTAACACACTACTGTGCTCTTCAATGGAGGACAGAGGTGTGTGGACCCACAGATCATTTTACCTCCTGTCAGGAAAACCTTCCCCAAATTTTTGCGAGGCAGTTAGTCAGATCTTATAGGCTGTTAAAAGAGACAGGTCAATGGGATACTGCCTTAGGTGAAAATGGGCAATAACTAGAAGAAGGCTTGCTGTCAGGGAAAAGGACAGAAGGGGTGACACATTGATAGAAATGGGATTTACTATTAGTAGGGAGTAAGGAGAGGAGGAAGGACAGACATGGCATTGCTGTGGAATATCAAAAGAACATTTCAGAGAAAACCATCATTAAAAGTACTAACTTGTGTATGTTCACACTGTCTCAAATTTCATTAAATAATTTCTTAAACAGATTGTATTGATGTATATTTTAAAAAAATTCCTGCAGTTACAATACTATTGATGAAAATGACAAGGAAAGATTTCATTTGCAAACATAAATCAAACCCAACTTGGTCAAAATAATTTAAACATTTTGGGTAATTTATTGCCTAGAGATTGAGATGTGTCACCCAAAAGTACCGCAAGGACTGATTACAAAGCCTCTTGATTTAATATGAAGGAAAATGACCTATGCAGCCTAGCCAGATATTCTATTAAAATCTGGGAAGAGTAGATGATTCAAAAGTAGTATCTTCACTCTGTTTGAAATCCACATTACTGAATTTTTCCTACTAATATTATACAAAATGCAAGATTTCTGCATTAATAATGCATTTCTACATTATCATAATCTGAGAAAATATTTTCCCCCTCCTACTATCTCCTGAAGATTTGCAAAAAAAAAAAGAATATACTCATACCAGTAAACACAGTCTGCCTTCTGAATGATTGTGATGATACCAAGATGATATAATCATTTTTTTTTTAGATATGAGATATTACCTTACTAGTCTACACTTGGTACATAATTTTCTTTTTATCTGTTATTGAAACAAAGGCTATTATCAGCCTGAAACATACAGCTGAATTTGAAACACAAATCAATATAAACATATCTAAAAGGTATGTAAGGGGTCCAGAATTTTGATTACACAAATAATAAATAGGGGGAAAATACATTTTTTTGCCTCTTTCCAACATAATGCAAATCTGCTAATCAGGAGACTCCAAGCTGTCAGCACTCAAATTTAGGGCATCAATTTAAAAATGGAAAACTTGCCTAGTAAAAAATGCAGGAAAATGCCTTCTAAGGACTCCATGCAGTGGACTAATGGCATATATAACTTATTTAAACAGCACACCTGCTAATGCAAACCTTTTCATGATACTGAAGTGGAAACTGGCTTCTGGTGGTACAAGTTCCCAGCTGGGCACCTTAGTACCCTTCAGAATACTCCATTTTACTGTGTTGTTCTCATTGACAGGCTCTACTTCCATAAATATGCTACAGGGACTGCTAGGTGATCCTCCATAATCTGCTCTCTATAAGTTGTTATGTCTCTTTTGACCACAAAACTTAGAATTATGAGATTCTAAGCACAACATGACCAATTTATTTTGGTTTTTTTTTAGTGGACTTGAGGAATGTGTTCTCTTAAGGACTCTAGAGAAAAATGTACTGCTGTATTGCATAATAATGAGACCATAATTCAGTCGGTAAATTTTTTAAAGGTCTGTTCAGCTAAGTGAATTTTGCTGGAAATCAATTGTTTTGTGAGATTCTTTATTTTTATTTTTCTTCTTAAGAATACTCAACTGATTTCCAGCTCATTCTCAGATTCTCAGATTTCACACAGTGTATTGCTAATCATGTCTTTCCTTTTCCCTATTCTGACCTCACATTTTTTTAAGTTCTACTCTGATTTCTGACCCTCAGGTGCATACTGAGCCTTTAAAAAGCCTGCTTAGCCAAAACACGTGCATGAAAATCACACTGAAGCAACCAAGCCATTATTCAAGGAAATGTCACATCACTGCAATAAATGACAACTACCCAATAATGAACAACCCTCAACGAAGTCTGTCTCAAAGCTTCCACCTAAAACAATAATGTTAGCTTGCAAAATGCATACCTCTCTTCCATTCCTCAAGCCTACAGGACAGATAAACCTAAATCTGTCATGACAGTCATGTCAATCTCACCTCCAACAGGACAAGGGGAACTGCTGGAGTTGTTTTTTCGCTTTTCCTCATCTCCAATAATAATTTCAAAGAACAATTCAGGAATGTAGTGTACAGCATGTTGTTTATGCCCATGTCACCTTACATCTGAGACACTCTTCTTAAATGCCTACAGTTGTGCCAGAGGTGTTTAATAAAAGTGGTTTAAAGAAGATGGAAAAAGATAAGGCAGTAACTGAAAGATGTGAAAGGAAACGAAGCAGCTAAGCAGTTCTTTGGTAGGTTATTATTTATTGATTTTAGCTGAAAGAAAGTATTTCCAACTCAAATCAATAATTTATAGCAACACACCAGTGAAGTAGGGAACATTTTTCCTGCACAGAACCAGGACGGCTCTTCTTCCTGAATAAAAATGTGTGGTTCTGTCTATCAATAAAAACATGTGCCCCAGTGAGGATCCAGAAAGGGAAACAGATGCTCAGACGTTGCATCAGTGCCAGTGAATCAGCACTGAGCCCCAGCTCATTCTTTTTAATTAAATTCTGGGGGGAAAAATATACCATGTGCACACACCGGCTTTACTAATTTACTGTGGCACTCATTCAGGGTCTGGTTCAATTTATTTCTTTATTTTTTTACTCAAAGGTTTGTGAACACTTAAGAAATGTTTCCTCAATTAAAAATCAATAGAACAGACACTGATGTGCACAGCACATCATAAAACAAAGTGCAGTGCCAAGGCACCACTGGAACAGAATACCCCTTATTCATTTTTGTTTATTTTAAAAACAGGCTGTAAATGTTTTGTTTGTCTCAGTTCCTGTAACCCTCCTGGAAAACTGCTGACCTTCTACTAGTGTAGCAGTGCTATTATTCACATGCCCTGTCGTATTCTGTATGTGCTATGCTCAAGGAAATGATGAGTTTCTGAATAATACTCAACGAGTTCTGATTTGTTTTGTAACCCACTATGATGGCAGTAACTACAAAGTTTGGACTAGATTTGAACTGAGAAACTGGAGAAAAAAAAGAGAGAGCTGACAATTACAAAATTTCACAAAACTGGCTGATCCAGACTGCACTTCCTGGAAAATTTCTTCTGCAGAAAAAGCTGAAAAATTTCAGCTAATTGCAATGGTGGGAATCAGAAAGGTATATGTGGAACTTGTCATGAAATGGATTTCTTTTTCCCCAAATTAAATACTAAATACCCCAAATTAAATTCCACTTCACCTAAGAACTAAAAGCCCAAATGTTCTGAGAATCAACATTTGGATAAAGATGCAATGACTGCTCAGATGGAAATTCTTTATTTCACACTAGCACAGTAAAAAAAAAAAGGTACAATTTCCAACTTCCTAATTTGAAACTAGAATATTTAGTTCTGATTCTTACTGTAAGAAAAATCAGTAATTGAAATTTTCTGCAAGGAAAATGCCAATGAAAGCAAAGCTAACATCTTCTAGTGCAGAAAAACACACGCAAAAACTTGGGTCAGCTACAACTGCTTGCCTAATTCTATTACAAACATCTGATTTTTCCTAAGTTACTGCAAAACTCCATGGACTAATAAAGCCTGACAATCCCAACAAAGAACAACTTTCTCAGCTCCAGGAGTCACCCTCTAATGAACTCTACTCAGGTAGAATGTAGCACAGTGTGTGCACTGCACAGACAACATCTAGGTTTCCATGGACATGCATTTTTCCTCTCTCTCCAAAGCACTCCAGAGTCAGATTTCCCTGTACTAAAAAGCTGTCTCACAGTCCCAGATGAAGAAGAGGTGTTCCCCACCTGTCCATGGACAGCTGTGCCACCAGTGTCACATCGGTGTTGTCGGCAGCAGGCTCGTACTCGTAATGCAGAAAGTAGAGATGAGTGCGATGGACGGTGAAGCGCTCCCGACGGAATTCATAGCACAGGTCGTCCTCGTCCAGCTCAGACAGCTGCTTCTGGAGCTGCAAGCAAAGAGAGGAAGCAACATCGTTTCCTTGCAATTATTTTAGCACATCAGAGAACCAGGAGCCTGGGAAATTGCAGAATGATGCAAAGAGGAATGGAATACACAGAGTAGCAGGGTTTTCCTGAGGTTTCCCTTGTTACTGCGCAAGAAATTAGAAGGAAGGGCTTGCAGGTAAATTCATAACGCAGACAGGACACTCTATTATGGTCTATATATTCTCTATATTACCTGTATTACATACTTTCAAGATCCAGTGACCAATCCCAGGTTGAATAATCATCAAGTCCAGGAGTTAATGTTCCAATGATTTGCATAATTTCGTCCTTACTAGAAACAGTGTTTTACACCAGTCACAGACATTCTTCACTAGCCAACACTCAGCAGCAGATTCAGCACTGAGAGATTCCCAGTCTGCTGCCTCTGCTGGAGAACAGTAACTGCTGCTACCAGCACGGACCGAGAGCTGGGAATGTAACATCTCTAACTGATCATTACTCCTTCTCTTGAGATTTATGTTCTTTCCACTGCAGAGGTGCCAGAAGTAAGCCTTTAAATGGGATTTATGCTTCTGGACACCTAGTTTGAGAAATCTGGAGGGTGGTAGATAACTTCCTGGCTCCCTTGGAAACCAAGCCTCTTCAAAGACAAAACGGGCATCTCAAAGTAATCTAATCCCAAGTCTCTTAGACAGGTAGCTTTAAGAGAATAAACTTTAGCTCTAGAGAAAGGTAGAAGTGAAAAACTGACCAATTGTCTATGCACCACTATGACCAATTCCATTCCCAAACTAATTATTTTTGGGGTTGGACTAGATGATCATTGAAAGGTCCCTTCCAAATCAAACTATTCTATGATTATATAACTCTCTGATTTTAAAGCCAAACATCTAGCTAGGATATTGAAAATGCATTAATTTTAAAGGAAAAAACAGTCACACCTGCAATAAAATGTTACGAAGATGAAAATTTTTTATGGCTTTAACATGTGAAATTCAGTTCAGTATCTATTGCTCTAAAATGTAGGTTACAGATAAAGTATCATTTTTGTATCTGATTTCTTAAAAGCATCCTGTGAGAACAATAGCCAATTAGTAAAACATTCATCAGCAAATGAGAAAAATTATATAGGAATTTTACAAATTTTGATAAAAATCACAGTGTACCTCAAAACTATTTAGTTAAAAAGGTTATTGAATTACAGACATCTTTTTCTCCTGCTCAGAATGAATAAAGTAGTAGTTTCCCCATCTTCAAGAAAAAAGTAAAAGGAAAATGTAGGTATTTTCTGTTCTGTGTTAAGAAGAGCTGTTGTTCTTGGAACTATAAGCATAATGGTTGCCATCCACAGCAATACTTACAACTGACTGTTTTCCTGTGAAGGCTGATGGAATAATTCCTGATATTTTCCTGTACATCACTCTATAATCTTCTTCTGAATAATGGAAATACCTACTTTGATTTCAATGAGTTTTGGATAAGGCTGTCATTCTTCTCTGCTATTGTTCTGCACAGATCTTAAAACACCCCTCAAGAGGGACTGCTATTAGAAAGATGAGAGTCTGAATCTTCACAAATCTTTACTCAGGCAAAACTTCTATTGATATCAAGATCTCTTTTAGGTGGAATAGAAATCAGGAGTTCTTTTACGTATCCTCGGAGTTTCATTCTTTCTGCTTTACAAACCATCATTCAGCTGTTCCTGCACTCTATTTTCAAAATCACATTCAAATAATATTTGAAGTAAACTCAATATTTACAACAATGACTAGAAAGCATCTTATATCTTTCTGTTTCTTCCTTGAAAAGGGACATTAGTGTTCCCTTAAAAGAACTATTAAAAAGATTATTGAAATTTTGAAATTTAAATAGCTAAAACAACAGCAATGCACATTTTAGGGGTACCTTACTATCCTTCTGAGTGTACAAATGACCAGGCCAGAAGATTTTAATTGCACAGCAGTTATTAATCAGGCAGTCACCAAATAATTATCAGATTGCATTTGGCTTGAAAGCTAAGAGGCTAAAATATTTAATTATGAGTTCAAGAATAACATTTGGAGCTAAATTACAGCTTTGTTCACTATTGAACCCTGGGTGAGAGAAGAGGAGGAGACATAGCTTCTGAAAAGTCCCACCTTTTTAATGGTGAAAATCACCAAATCACAAAGTTGGTGATGGAGGTGAAGGAGAGAACATAAAATTTCTCTAATATAGTCTTTTCTACTGCACACATATTATGTGGATCCATTATTTAAAGACAAAGAACTCTTAGCTTGGTTTGAAGTTTGCTCCCACACTGTCTTCTTGAAAAGATGCGTTTATAATAGGAATGCTGACAGATCTACGCAAACAGATGCTTAAATAAAGTGCTCAATCAAAATAAGGACTTGAATATCAGCTGGATTTGATAAAATCTATTGTGGATTTTTTTCCCATTATGGATGCATCCATTACATTGATAATGATATGCCTAACCCAGCAAAAGTTTCTCAGCTGTAGAGAAACAGCATGTACTCTCATAAGCAAGTACCCTGCTAAGCAAGACTGTGAGCTTCTAGAAGGGTTTCAATGCTAAGGCTACTTGCCACTTAGCATGTGGGAAATGTCACCCCCAGGAAACATTCTCACAGCTGAAAAATGCTGTCAGACTGTGTGGGGAAGATACTGTCCTAGCAAACACTGTTGTGGGAAACAACACCTGCCTTCATTAGCATCATGGTACTACTTGGTTCAGAAATAAAAATGAACTCTGGCTCAGAACTTGGTTCAGAACATGGTTCAAAAAATAAAAATGAATTATGCTATGCATAAGGCCCAAACAAAGAGACAAATACATAAAAGAAATACGGGCTATATTATTTCTCTGGGACACCAGATGTGGCAGGGGATCAGGCTCCATCTCAGGAAAAGTAGTCTTTGAAGCTAGGCTAGTCAGACAAATAACTTAGCCTTGATCTTCCAGGTCTACTTGTCTAACACATTTCTATAAGATGAGGTGTTTTATATCCCTGTGACAGATGGCAGACCTGTATGATACATGGCAACACAACTTGTACCTTTCACTGGCAAACTGGTGACTCTGCTCATGAATCTTCCTTCCTAAGGCTGTTCCTAATGTAAGCAAATCTGTCATTGGCTTAGTTTTTTTTCTAAACTGCTGTGTCACTGAAACAATTCACTTCCCACCAAAACCCAGGACTTCATATCAGATAAGACAGATTAAAAATTCAAGATCAGAAGTATTTTCTGAGGGATTATTTATTAAAAAAAGATCAAAGCCCACCAACAAACAATGTCATGTGTCTACAGGCCAGTTAGATCTTGGGTTAAGGGATAATGTAGGCTCTCTCATCAAGTGTTTAAGTTGAGGTGAGATGACACTAGGCTTAAGTCACCTGCTCAATATCACACTAACACCACAAGAACTGAGTAGCTTAGACAGAAACTCAGAACTTTCAGATCATCTTTCCTTTTCCCAGATGTGTGCAGTTAAGTTTCATAGCACAAAATCAACTCAGCCACTGAAATGAAAACTGACACCAGCCCAGGATGCAACAAAATCCTGGTTATAAACTGCAGCAGTTTCTTTTTCTCCTGTGTAGCTCTCCAGTTCCCACCAGTAGGCAATTTGGATTGCAACATTTAGCATTTTGAAGGGTGTGAATTAACAGTTGCCTTTAGCATGGCATAAACAAAACAGATGATAATGTAGAGAGAAAAAAGCATTCAGTGAGAGTTGTTTTGGATGACCTACATAAAGTCCTTCTGGCCTCTCCAATGATCAGTAATAAAAGCCAGACTAATCCCACGTCAATTAAACTTTTATTCCTCCCACACCATAAAATTTTGTACATTTGCTATGGGTCAAATTGAGCCTTCTGTGAAACAAAGCTGTGCTAAAGATAAAGAGGATAGTTCCTGAGCAAACCCACCTGGCAGGAGGAATTTTGCTGCAGTGTGTGAAAACCACTAATACTCCTGCTAAATGGAAGTGATGGCTTATCCTGATTTCAAATATTCAACACAACTGAGAATGCAATTTTTAGGCATGTGGAGTATCTCAGACAGTTCTGTATATATCAAGTACTGCTCCCCTTGATCTCAGCTGCAGTTGTCACATTTGGGAGTACTCTTCATCTCCTTTCCCCAGACCCTTGACAAACATTTTTGGCTGAGCTGTTCCCAGACCCCCTTGCAGCACACTGTCTTGTCAGGTAAGTCACCTTGCTTTTATTGACCAGATCAGTCTTTGACCCATTCCTCCTTGTGTGGGAAGTTTTATGGGTCTAAGTCAGTCCCAGTCCTGTGTCTCATCCCATGCTCCCTATTCATGCAGTCTGCCAGCTCCTTATACCTATAAGTACCCAACTGTCCTTTCCTCTTCTTGGTACACTCTCTCTTTCCTTTCTGCCTTTGACATGGGTTTCATCTCTTTTGTATGTGAATCTGGATTTTTTCTCCTCCCTACTGTGTGGTCATTGCTGAAGGCAATGCATGTCCCTCAGAGCAGAGACCCAATGCAGGTTCCTGCTCTCATCTCTACTGTCCAGTCAGAACCTGGCATAGAGGATTCAGAGGAAATAATCACAGAAAACACCACTCTTTGTCCAGGTCCCCTGCCTGCAGCATGCCCAACCCTGCTGTGTCACTGGGATATGTATAATCTGGTCAGATCTATCCATGCACATTCCTAATAAAGAGTCTCCAGAGACCTGAGCTTCCTGAAAGTCAAAGAAAACGCTACTGGCAATGTGTAAGCCATAATTTTTCTGCATTATAGTTTGCCTAATTTGTCACCAGGCTTGCAAAAGACAGCTCCTTCTCTTAGGTATAGAGTATTTTCATGAAGAGGTCATCAGAACTTTTGGTGTGGACAAACCTCAAAGCTTCCCCCCATGTTAAAAAAATGTGAGAAAAGAAAAAAAGGGCATAACAACATGACAAAAAAAAAAAATCCCAGTCCATGTGCTCCTCCCCTTAATAATATTATCAACAG